CTCAAAATACTAATAATTTCGAAGACTGTGTTGCTTGATCTCAACAAATGTAATCGATCTAAGAAATGATGGGGTCAAGCCCTGTACCTTGTAATACACCTCACATTACATATGCAAGAGGTTCTTTTCTTTTCCAGTTCTTCTCAGGTTCCTTCAATGACGCCTTCGAACGCTTCTGTGCATGCACTTCTTCCCCGTCAAAAGGTTGCCTTCAAAACACAAAGCGATGCAAAGTAGGCCAAGTCAGAGTAGATATTCGTTGGGTCCGGAGTCCGGACTTCGGTAAGTTTGTGAAGAGTCCGAGTCTTCTCCCGAAGGAATGTCGGAATAATGAAGTTCGACGAGAGCAAAAGTGAAAGCGAAATCGAGCAGAAGAAACGAGCTTATACAAGGCGTTGATCTTGTGCAATAATGTCTGGTCTAAATAAAGTCTTGAAAACATAAAGTACGCATATGGAGAAGAAGAAATTGAATTCATCATGGAAGTTTGCTTTTCGTTTTGAAGGTGCAGAAAGAGCGAAGCAGAGAGCAACATGCCGAACAGAACACCACTACTCACAATGATTTTCTCCACCCTTGTCGTCCATTTTCTTGTGTGGGGTTTCACTCTTCCTAACCCCTTTGCTCCATGAGTGCTCCGAGTATCAAAATTCAACGTTTCCGCTAACATTCTGTCCCGCAGATTCGTTCTTTACACTTTCTTTCTTTATTAGGTCTGCAATCTCTTGACCTTCCTGGTCGTTCATCCTTGCAAAACACACAATTATCATGACCAACGAAAACCTGCGATCTCCGGACACTTGTTCCACATCCAACAGTCTGATGTGCAATCTATGCTCCGCTAGAGCATCATCATTCTGTTAAACCCCGTCCTCAGATGGGTCTCTACTTCTTGACCTTCCTGAACCTTCAACCTTGCAAAGTACACTACAATCATGACTACCGAAAGAGAGATCTGCAATGCAAAGCCAAAATCTTGACCTTTCTTCCCTTTACTCGTCGATTCGTCGTGTAGAAACCACTTGCAAGCCCTGCAAGGCAAGTGCAGAATACCCACTGAACTTGATCCTCGGCATGAGGGTTTCTTCTCAGTCTTCACTACGTGGACCACCTCTTCACGGGTCAGCTTTCCGCCGTGGCAGCTGCAGTCGGTGCCTTTCTCCGGGGAAAGCAGGTAGTCATTGGCCCATCTGAACAGCGGGCAGACCACGCCGATGACTCGGCATGTTGGTCGTCGAATGTGCAAGATATTGCGTATCGAATCAAAATATTTAAATATTCTTTAAAAAATAACTTTAAAAATAGTCCACACTATAAAAAAATTTATGTTATTGTTTTTGTGGATGGCATAACGGAAATAAAAAAACAGGTTGTGATACGCGAAGTCTGTCTTGATAGGAAAGTGTGTAGCGAGAAATACTTTCATCCACCAAAAAAAGCCCTATCACAAAATAATTGTAGCCTGACATTCGAATCCCTCGGATCGGAGGTCATGTGGATTTGGAGTGGGTGAAGATGTGCATCAGGAGCACCCAGAAGCTCATCTTGTTTCCTCAAGGACGTTGGTTCAGAAGTGTCCAGTTTGATAATTTGGTGTTTAGCTGCCAGCGATCATAGACAACTCCGAGAAAGCTATTTACTTTGAAAACCTGTTTGTCATGTAGTAGTGTTCCTTTACTGGCTATCTATTCAATTGCTTATACATGTCACCTCTATGGATAATTCTCTTCCGCGTGGAAGTACAGTCTTAAAAGATGATAAAATATTCATTATAGTTAAAAATGGAGGTGTTTACTTGATGGGACCCATCAGAACCTAAATTGTTTATTGGTATATTTTAAGTTTCGTTTTACGCTATGAACCCCACCGACGGTACACTCATGCATGTTTTACTATCAAAGACATAGTAGGAAATAAAAGTCTGTCGCAACAATCTTCTTCGGCACTTCGTTTCCTTGTGTGTCTATGAACTTTCTGCACTTACAACATTGAATAGATGGAAAAGGTCAAGCCCAAGACTTTTCGCATACTGAAGTGCAAAATCCTTGCAGTGAACTGCAAACTCTACTTGTTCTGCTGACATTATATGTCAATGTCAGCTACATTATAAATTTAGATGTATACATAGAATTGAAAAGTTTTCTAAATCATCTTCAGCTCTCGGGAATTTTTATCGAGATGCAAAGATGTTCAGCCTGTTGTCTCAAGAAGGACAATCGCACAAACTCAGGACTCTCAATATAAAACGTTATCTCTTCAACGTTAGACTTCAAGATATCCATCAGATCAGGAAGATCTGTACACGACCCTCCCTACTTCAATCCATATCTGTCCGGTGAATCATGTCGCTGGACTCGCAAAATTTCGAAGATTTATTCATGGTCATCACAAAATTATAATATGGAAGAAAAATAACTTCTCTGCTGTTTCGGGCAGATTCAAACTTTTTCTTTTCTGCTCTTGTTCAAAAGAATGCCCGCATGTTTCGTGATTTTAGTTTCTTGTCCACATTGCTTTTTCTACATCTCACGTGTGCTAATGGCCAACTTGATTCTTGTTTCCGCCCTTGCTCATCATGTCAACACACTGGATTCTCTTAAATGAAAGGATCAATAATTGTCTGGAATCATGCATGTTCTCGGTTCTCACCTAAGGCACGAATTCCTGTAAGAATTAAGAAACTCTAACCTCGCTTCAAGCATCGTTTTATAATGCTTGAAGGCGAGGTTAAGATTATTTTTCGAAAATCTGCAGGGTATATTTTCCTATATTTGTATAATTTTATTAAGAGAGGAATTTAATAGTTTACTGACCTCTTCTGGCCCAAAAAATACTATCCTGAAAGCGCTGACAAGACAAGACCGAGATAAATAAAAGGACAATAATCACAGCACTTGTTCGAGACCTCGGAGCCGATGGATGTAAGGTTCACGAAGAAGATTCTGGAGCAGGTTTCGGAACGAGACGTCGGCCGTTTCTTTCTGCCTCTCCTTTACGTTGCACAATCAACTTGCCACGTGATTTTTGAGGAGTTAGGGTGGAAAAGGTTGTCTTTAGAGGACTGATGAAGTGACGTTGGACATGGCATTTGCCAAAGACTTGTGTCGTCGAGATTTCCACGCTTGGCAGTCTTCGGGGCGTCTTTTCTTGTGCAGGTGGTGTGCATCGTCCGTTCCAACCTTCGGATTTGATCGCACGCTTTCTCTTTCTTCTTTCTGAGAGTTTGCAGATTCTGATTCTTGTGACGAGGATCGCACCGAGACGAGAAGAAGTGTCGAGAGCATCCGACATGGACTCGCTCGCGGATCACTTGAGAGTCGAAGGCCTAGCGCTTCCGCTTGCGGTTCTCCCATGCCACTGCAAGGGAATGATGTAAAGAGTTTTGACTCTGTCTCTTTCGTAGAACGAAGAAGGCAGCGGGCTGCAGCAAATGTCCTTTTCGAAGATCAACTCATACTGTTTTGGTGAGTCGAGCTTCCGAAATACGCTTCAAATCATGGCTATGGAATTACATTTTTTGACGTTTTGTTTCATTGACAAGATACAAAAGTGCAGTCATTGAAGTTTCAGTGGAGTTTCTAAAATTGCATGATGGCTTGAGTATAATATCTACTTATACAAATGACACACGTAGACATTAGCGTCGTATGATGATGATGAAGTTCGTTGAAACTTCTTAATTTTCCTTCCAATGTGCAAATATACTCAGTAAATTGCACAAAGAAATTTGTGTACATTTTGTTTGATGTTGCAGCTAAATTTGAAACTTTCTTATTTTGTTACCCTTTTCTTTGGCAAACCAAGCCAAATAATCGTTTCAGAGATTCTTGTTTTGGTTAGAGTCACATCATCCATCGTTCGAGTCTGAAACAAATTATGATGATAATTTGATGTTTGATGGTTTGTGAGAGTAAGTTGTATTTAACGAATACTTTCACATGATTCACTAGTGTACCACAACTCACATAATAGTGAGGTTGACTTGAAATTGTCTAATTCTCAGGTTACTAGCAGTCGCGTTACGATAGGAGGCATTATATTAAAGAATGTATCTTCTCTATAGATAAAATAATTTATGACCAAAGCTTTAACATAAATAGATGTAGACTTTAGTTCGAAAGTAATATGGCGACAACATCTCCATAAAAGCACATATGAAAACCATATCAACCGTATGAAGATCACTCATCTGTCAGATGATAAAATGTATATTGCATATGTTTTGTTCAATAGTTTAGGACCTGTGGACAAGCTAATGCAAAATTAGTAGGGCTAGCTGGAATTTTGATTTGGTTTTCAAAAGTTGCAGATCGAAGAAGTGTACTTATTAATCTTTATTTTAATTGTAAAGGTTTTATGTGGCGAAGATGTTCATTTCATAATATGATTGTAAATTTTTCCGAAATTTTGTTCTAGTGTTATAATTGTATCTAAAATTATCTGGAGACAGTGGCGAAACATGCATTTCTGTTGGTACTGTTGTGTGGAACAGTTATTGTTGAAGATGTTATTGAGACTTTAACTTCACACATCCTGTTACACAGTGTTCAACCTGACTGCTACTGACATCAGACTATAAGGGAGTTTCTTTCAAAGAGGTGTAGAAAGTACACAGGTGTTCACTGACGGGCTTTTGGTCATCTCACTTTAATACGAAAGGCCAGAAGTGCCAAGAGCAAGTGCCACTTACGATTAGATGACGCAGGATGGTACGATCGATCTTTACTCTACGGTAGAGTGCGACTTTTGATATGTACATTACAACATCCTACCATCCAAAAAGTAGTTTTACTTTCCGCTACGACATGTGGAACATGAACATCATCTGATGTCAAGGGTTAAAGGCCACAACCACGCATACCATTACGTAGCCTTGTGCATGATGACGATACATCTCTAGAGTTACGAAGCATTGATAGGCCGAAAAATTTCGACAATGGAGACAACAAAACATTCATGCGTGTTCGGATGTTGAGAAAAGTGTCAAGCGTGGACAGAGTGGTTTAAACTTCCTTTATACAACTTAAATTTGGTACACCAGACATTCCACTCTATAGATTGAACGTTTATCTCATCAAATATCATGCTCAGAACCAACTCCCTTCGCACGGGGTTTGTACATCCCTCCGTCCAAACGAGAAAAGAGCACAATATTCTTACTAAGCTGACTTGAGGACTTGCTTAAGGCAAAACCGCACTCGCTAACTACCCGCCTTCTACCCTTACTACACTAGACAGGGCCACAGTGAGATGGCATGTAAAGTGGTAGTACCAGGTATGATGAATCAGTTAACTCTGTTCGATCAAACTAAAGTTATTACTTCTTGTGAGATAATACCGACCACAACAGCAGCTCACTCTCACCCCCTTTGACAAATAACAGGCATTGTTATCTTCCAATATGAATTAAATTGTTATGACAGATTTTTGTTCTTTCGCTATATATATCTATTGCAGACTTTCGTTGAAGACTACAAACCACAGACGACATGGTTTAGTTTGACTGAAAAGAGCTCTCTGAGGTTGACTCCGTGATTTATGAGGACATTCTGAGTAACTTTACATGTGGTAGCAAAGACGGCTACTCTGCCACTAATCTTCAGAAAGCTTTTCAGCAGGCAGGGTTTTGAAGACTTTGTCCCACGTTGTCGTGGTGATTCCGTATCCGTTTGTCTGATCCTTGAAGTGGTGGTTCAAGTGGTATCTCTGCGGGACACAATGTTGAACGGATTCATATTGATTAGTTGAAACTGGTCGAGGAGTTACAATGACAGCATGTAAGTTTCACTCGCAAATGTGATACCCACCTTCATTTTCCGTGTTTGATCGCTGAAGGCAGTGCCGAAGTGAAGGAAGTAGTGCGTTAAATCGTATGCAACGTAGGTCAACAGAGCACCGCCGTATAGTGCGAGCTTGATAGGGTACGGCGCAAACCACTGGCCGAGCGCGACCCAAATCTGGCGGATAAATAGACAGAAAGGTAAGACAGTTGTGACTGTACATACTGCTGACACCTTTCTAGAGCTCGTGTAAATAGCACCATTGAGAGGAAAAGATAGCATACAAGAGGGACCGTGAGCAGCGTCGAATCAACTGACTTACAATTGTGCAGATCACCGAGGTGAAGGCTGGAGGGAAAACCAAACGAGCACCATCCATCGGATGCTTGTGGTGAAAGCCATGAATGACGTAGTGGAATGTGTTACCCCTGCATGTGCAGCTCTTGGGTAAGTAGACTGCCTCAAAAAGTGCACGTGCTTGAAATGTACAAGACTTCGATCGACTAAAGCCAGCAATCGAGATGTTGTTGGACATTTACCAAAAGCTTGAAGTCTTCATGTGAAAAAGGAACCGGTGCAACATATACTCCAGGAAGGTCCATATCATGGCCCCGACGATCATAAGCACGGGAAGTTGGGTATAGGTGACTCCATTCTTGACCGCCAAGACTTCCATGGCCAACGCAACAGGAACCCATATCAGGGGGATCACCCACCAATGCGTCCTTGTGAAGAACTGCCAATCAACAGTGACAACGAATGTTAATTGGAGTTCGTATTCATTTCAAGAAAATTAGATCAGATATCGGCGGTATCGACGCTCGTGACATGAAATACACGTGGTGGTCGAACAAGCCGGCACTATGAAACTATCCTTGTCCGTTGTGGACCGAATCATCTGTAAGAATTGACTGACAAACATTTTGAAAAGATAAAACTTGGTATGGCAAGAATTTATCGTTGTCAGATTACGAGCAACAAGATATTCTAACAGTCTGACACGTTTACACACTAGTACTTTTCACTACTGTGTCTCAGGCACCTCTACCCATGTCAACAAAAGGTGGGAAACTCCTCAGATGTCTTCTGGCACTAAAAGACACATTGTTAGATTGCACGCCTCCATCACCTCTTCAACTTCTACGACCCAAGAAAGCCAGACCAGGCAGATGCTTAGAAATCATACGCTACGATGTACGCGGAAAACGATAGTAGAGGGTGATTGGCCAGTGGAAAAGAAAAGCGTGTGTGGTGATTAGTTTCCGGCACCAGCCTATGTGTAGGTCCGTAAAGACCCACATTTTGGGCACACTCGCCGCCTATCGCTCATACTAAAAACATTCTTTCTGCAACACAAAAGCTTTCTTTCGGGCACGCTCGTCGAGATCATCTCTAGCTCCTTCGCGACGATCGAAGTAGAGATTCCAAAGTATATTCACCCGTCACGGACCATACTCATCGAGTAGCGTAGACATCGATACCGGGGACCCAGCGACAGCTCTACAACAGCACTTTAGCTACGAAGCATCCTTGTGCGGTCATGGTGACGATCGAACATCATCACGGACACCATTCTCCCCTCAACTGTATAAAGTACGTGAACATTGGCCACGCATTGTTCTCCACCGGTTTCGAGGTTGGAGATTGACGCGATTGCTGTGCCCGTCCTTTTCGGTGTGTCCGGGAGCCGGCACGCCCATTGTCCCATCCACAACTGAACACATACTGCTACTGCGGCTACGTGTACAGGGGTACATTTCTCCACTGTTAGTAAGAGCTGCTCACTAAGTCAGTCGAGGTCAGCACTCATCATTTGCGTGATGACTCACAGCATTATTGGCCGAGACCCGTCTTTCACTACCACGTCAGGAATAGGCTCGGAAAAGAGGCATTAGCCCCACACTCTGCTGCAGTCTACTCGGATGTAAGTTCTACAGCGAAGAGAGCAAACTGTTGATCTTGGTCCCGTCATCCGTGCCTGACATCGACGCCTCGTGCTCTCAACACTCACTGCGAGAGTCATCCATTCGAATGGCTCCTTCTCGCGCCCATTGAAGTCAGGAAACTTCGTGGGATGATGAAATCCCATTTACCTCCGGTCTGTCTGGGCTTGGCCGTACGTACCGGCAACGTAATAAAGAATTGGGCCATGGACACTAATCCACTCAGTTAAGTTCAATGCAAAGCTCACAACGTGGAAAAGCCTAGCGGGCGGAGGTAATGGCCGTGACCAATCCGAGCATCAATCAATTTCTCAGGCCCATGGTAGATGGCGATAATGTTCAGATCCTCAGAAGTGACCAAGCGCTCCGTGCAGGATAATATCAGCCACCACTCCCTCAACCGTTCGCTAGAGTCTTGTGGAATAAAATATTCGAGCGTCGCATGCAGATAGCGTAAAGCCGGTCTGCGTGCCCTGCCCAGCCCTGGCCTTGCCTGGCCTCGTCTGCCGCGGCGAGTACAGGAAGAATGCGGCAGACTTGCTCATGGACTGGCACCGCGGCAGAGCGTTTTCTTGGCCCACAGCTGATTGGAAGTTGGTTGATGCCTTTAAATCCCACAAGAGGACCTGTACAGACACTCAGGATTTTGGCAGGTCCGATACACAGCAATTAAAGCGCTCAAAACAGGAAGCTCTGGGCATCAAGTCTCGAGTGGAACTTACCGAGCTGGGAAGGAGAACAAGCTTCCGACAAGTGGGGAAAAGCGTTTCATTACGGGTCCAATTCGGAAGAGTATCCAAACGAGAGGAGTTTCCGCGCTGAAGGAAAGCACTGTCCCGAGCCCGGAGGGATGAATAATCCTGCGGCCTACACAGTTCTCGACATCGTACTCTTCGTGGCGGGTAATCACTAGTAACTGAGCACGATGATTGCCCGGGACTTCGACTCGATTGGCAGAGTCGGATCAAGGAATAGCGCGTTGGCAGCAAAAGAAAATAAAGAATGATTTCGGGTCTAGGGTTCGTACATTCCAGCTCATGCAGCCCGATGTCCAGTCCCTAGACCATGCGCAGAGATCAATACCTGTAGGAAGCCCAGCCTCGGAGCCAGTCCCGAGGAACCAACCAGAGCTCAAAAGAATCTGTCTCGATCAACAATTCATGGCGGTTCTAGACTCTCGCACACTCACTCATTGTTGTGAGAGAACCACCACACAGACGACCATCAGGTTGTCAGGTCCACCGCTTGCGCGCACATCATGAGCGATGGCCTCGCAAAATAGTTGAGACCCGTGAAGTCTGAGCCCCTCGAGGCCATGAACTTCGCGCGTTATAGTAGCAGCCGCAAGATGTTGGAGAATTGAGGCACGTCGTAATAAGGCCGACTTGCAGGAGTTTGTTGGGGCCTTAATCGCTGTAAGGAAGCCATGGCAATGATGTACTTCTCGCAGGCATACAGTGACGAATCGAAACTGCGTCGAATCTAGACGAACGTAAATCGACGGTTACGCCTCCTGACCATTACGAGCCAGAGGGTATGGGGTCCGACTTCGGAACATGGACGTACTCGTAAAAGCCTGCATGTGGCAGGTATCCTGTACACCACCCATTGACACATTTATGAGGACCCTCCGCGATTTCAGACGACTGCAGGCCGAAGGTAGGGACATAAATTTCGGCCGGACTCGAAACGAATCCTCCAGATGAATTCTCTAGGCGCCTCATCCCATTTGCGGGCATGAATGCAGAAAATTTCAAAATGACATCATTCGCGTGGAGCCTGACCGATCGGCAGCACCGCAGCAGCGCTCGTCGGATCTACTAGTTCCACTGCCCGTAACCGAGTTAGTCTAGTGGAAAGGTTTCGCAAATCAGTTGAGAGGCAATTTTATCGCAGCAGAAGAATTGCAGACAGCAACACCGGAATTATGGACACATACTACGGTAGTCTGCGCAAGTTATCTCCTGGGGTTGCCTCAGATAGGCTAGACTGCTCAATGTTGGGAGCACCTGCCCTCCCAATCTGTACCAGACGACCGGAAATTGCGGCGTCATGTGGGAGTTCCAAATTTTGAAACCGACAAAATTGGCCTTGGACGGAATCACTGCGCCTGGAAGCTTCTGCTAGTATTACGGGATCAAGTTTTTGCCAATCGTGCGCGATGATATTACGACATGCTGGAGATGAACACAACAATCTCAGCAGACATAGGAAAGACTGACTGTTCCCCTGACCATTAACCTGCGGACTCGTCGTCAACTAACAAAGTCTCACACCACAAACCTGAGTCACTCGGAAGTCAAAACAAATTCGAAGTTCTACACCAGCACATTGCCGCCGTCGAGAAGCTCGAATTCGAGAACGTCGAATGTGCTACACGGTAAGAAGAAGCGTGGGCGAACTTCAAGCAGTGAATCATTCTGAACCCGTGAGAGCTGTAAAACCTCAACCCGAGCCATTTAGAAAACAGCTAAGAGAACGACACTTGCGAAGCGTGCATTCCGTACCTCTGAGATGTCACTCTCGAAGAACCGAGGACTTTCCCTCGACACAATCGGATCATGGACCCACTCGTCGTAGTCGGCTCCCAGATATCCAACCTGCAGAAAGATCCGGAAATTAGAAGGACGACAACCGGATGAATGCAGTTCAGACCTACAACGCAGAAAGCAGTTACGATAACACTCTTGCAACCTAACGGTTCGGACACGCGCCACGAGTGTAACGTCACCGAGATCATGTAAACGAACCTGTCCAACAATTGGCTTCGATAAATCGACGGTGTATTTCTTCGTATCCGAGTTGCTCTTTTTCATATTCTCTTCGGTTTGGAGCCTGCATCAACCCACATGTAACTGGCTTTGACTTCTGCTACGTAACTGCTGCTACTGCCCATTAGAACTTGGCATGTGCACGTAGTTTCAAAAACCTGGTACAATGCCATGACTTGGACTAACAAATGTCTTCTTGAACAGCGGATGGTATGCCAAGAAGTCCAAAGGCGCACTGGACTGTAGAGAGATAGATTGAGTTCCACAGCACCCCATAAGACTCGAATAGTTTCTTGCCACTCTCGCCCCCAACTGAAATTCAAATGTTGTCTACTGATACCGAACAAAACAATGCGGTTTGGAGCTGCGAGGCAAGGGCGAGCAGGTCGAAATTGACGAGAGCTTACCCACGGTGGTTTTCCACTGATCCGATTGAGAATTGCTGCAACATCTTGAACGCAGCTTTGCTGTGGCTGTGTCCATCTTCTTCTTCTTTGCCTCTCATCAGATTCCCGGCATCACGTACGTGCAGGTGATCAAGTATCAACTGTTCGAAAAGCCAAAGCACGCGAAAGGGTCAGGAGATTCAGTTGTGCTAAAGCAAATATTGCAGGTCGGCTTCACGTGGGGATCTGAACTCGTCGCTGAACACCGTCTGACTCAGGTAACTGCCAGGCCACACCTTTCGCTAGAAAGACGAAGGGAGAAGCCAAGTCCAACTGGGAACGTGGGTTCTAGGGGGACTGATGGACCCCCAGAAACGTAACCGAGCTTCAGAGGGACTTCAGCTCACCTCTTGACCACCAGGATGAGTCTCGAGAAAGTACGTCACGTCGTACACTTGGCCATCCACGACAATCCACGCATCGTCCACGCTCCTGTGCTTGGCAATCTCCTCATAACTGAAAACTTTCTTCTCCACAGCTTCAGGAATCAGCAATGGCTCCGTTGGAGTGGTCGCCTTGACAGAGGTTGCAAGCCCAATTGGAGCTGTAACGGAGCTCCTCTTCTGCTCTGGACCAAAGCTTCGTATGACGGACTCATTTGAAACCTGGGGCGTGATTCCCATCAGTGGCATGGACGCCATTGAGGGAGGAGCCATCGAGTGTGCTCTAGAACGGAAGAGCGTGTGGAATTCGAGGATATGGTGGCGAAAGCACAAAGGAAGTAGACTTCTTGCCCGGCGTGCACGCGGATCGTACCCGAGCACTGCAATCAAAATGAGAGACGAGAGTAAGAAGCGGACGATAGATATATTTAATTGGACTCCGAGGGCAGGCTACGTGCTTGAATCACGGTAGCGCTTATTCAAGGCTCGGAAGGGGATATGATGCAGAAGAGCAAGAATGAATGAAAAGCTGCAGAGAACTTTAGACGGCAGGCGCTTAGAACGGAGGTGGCAATTGCTGTTCAATAAACGAGTGATCAGATCAAGGCAAATGGTGGACAGGAGAGGAGAGGGGAGGAGAGGAGAGGAAGCGAGGCGCAAGAGGCAGAGCCAGGCGGGCGTCAGAAGGCCAGGCCAGGCTTTCCGCGACTACGGGTGCCAACAGGCCGACCCGCCCGCAGAGCCACAAACAAAGGGCGGAGGCTTGCCTGCTGCGTGCGTTCCCACGGCCGAGGAGTACGAAATTGAGATATGAGAATGTGGAGTAATTCTCTGACTGCACTCTCGGCGACGTTGACGCCCTTATAAAGTCTGAGAATAGTGGACTTCTCACGCGCGAGAATCTGCCTTTGGCCTGGTAGGAGGGCGAGGGCCGACGAGGAGCGGGCGCCGGGACGGGGTTGGTCTGATTGCTCTAACTACCAGGATGCCATCGCTAGCACAAATCCCACTTTCTTGACCAGCTAGTTTCGCCGCTGCACAGAGCTCTCGTGGGCGCGCGGGGCCCCGAATATCAACAGCGCAGGCTCGCGGCTGCGGCTGCAGCTCATCCCGACGACGAGACGAGGGCGGGGGCGAGCGCGAGCGCGAGGGCCTCCTCCTATTGTAGAGTGGGTTGGTGATGAGAACGAACGCCAAGGACCCCGGGCATTAATTGCATGTCAATCCTCGCGCTGAAGATTTGACGTGCAGCCGCGCTGCCCCGTCCGCGCCACCTGGCACCCGTCGTCGCGCGGCCCACCAATCCGCCTCCACATTTGGCGAAGGCTCATGATGGCCATCATGAGCGCCCTCGGACCGCCGCTCCCGAGCCCGCTTCCGGTCGCGGCCGGAATCGAAGGCTCCGAGTCGCCACTCTGGACGATGTCCTCCAACCGTAGCGAGGTAGATCGGCCCACTCCACGTCGCTTACCTCGCAAGCGACGACGACGGTCGACGGGGCTCGACCGGGATCGACCACAGTAGCCCAAGAAGCTCGAATGAGGGCTCACGGGGCCTGGTCGCAACAACCGTGCAGGCAGCGCCGCCCCATGCCGCAGCGCATGGGCGCCGGGCCACCGGCACGCGGACCGGAGCCGCAGTGCACCAAGAAACGAACGCAGTTCGAACTGGTCAACGCGAACAACATCATCAACTGCTGGAGCCCGAGCTTAACTGCACCGAGTGCGATTCAAAATCGCTGCTCTTGCCATTCAGCAACAGAATCCATCTCCCGGCCGCCTCATTGGCGCTATGCTCCTGACGTGGATGCCACGTACGCACGCCTTGCGCGACGAACTCGCCAACGTGGACGGGCTTACGACGAAGAAGCTCGATCAGAACTCGATCACCGATCACCGATCACCGGGGTTCTCATCCAGATTCGAAACTGGGCTCCAGAGATCCAAGGCGCTCCAAGAATCCCTCGTGGACGCTCGCCTTCGGCCTCGCTTTCACAGCTGGCGTCTTTCGGGGAGAGTAGGCCGCGCTAAGCCGCTTTCGTGTCCGCTTTGTCAACCCTATCCATCATCGGGCTTGCACCTTTTGTCCCCCGCCCTGCGTTCTCCCTTCTTGTAGATGTCCGGCGCTGTAGGGACGCGGTGTAGGACCGAGGACCTGGAGGTACGAGCCCTCCCTCAGGAGCAATAGCGATGCCGGCTGGTCCTTCCCTTCCTGACCGCAGCATTTTCCTGTATCGTCCCATGGGCCACTTGTATTCACGCGCCGTGACGGCAGATATGTGCTGCAGCACTCTTCATCAAGTTCCACCAGCTGCGGGACGACATAGAGCGCGATTAGGGAGCGGTCCATCGGGTTTCGGCCACGTTTCTCCGTAATTATTGAATTTTCAACCCCGGCTTTAAGAGGCTTTCTACGGACTCGCTTCGCGCTCGGTACGGTTGGGGGGTCATGTTGAACGAAACTCTCATCTGCAATAAAATAAAGTGTCGACTTTGCAGTGTCTTGCACATGAAGAGAAATCAGGGATATGGAAGGGTAGGACCTTCGCATCACCTCACAATCAAATGTCGAAGAAAAGAAATCTCACTGTCTTCCACCTTCTGTGACATGCAAGAACTACAGAAGATCCTTCTACGCTGCCAGCTGCAGATGTCACAGAAAGAGTGAACGATTGGGTGAGTGAGGGAACAGTGCGAGGATCAATGTCTTACGTCGTAGCAACTTTGTTTTGGCCTAATCTGGGTATCTTGACAGAAGGTCGTCACTGGATCCACTCAGTCTCTTTCGTCGTTCTACATTCGACTCAAATGTCTCGGGGCAGGGAAGCACTGTTCTGGAACTCTACTCCTAATGACGATTTTCGGGAACGCTTAAGAATGTGCATCTTGTAATAGCCAATCCAGTCGGAGTTAATATCGGAAGCTGCGTTTCATGGGTCCAAATGCTCATTAAGTAGCAGCTGACACAGTCCCTGCGTTCCAGACAAATCAATCTGACTGATTTCGCAAGCGCAGTAGGCATGACATAAACAGCCGAGTCAAGTGTGTGGGGTTTTCTTATACCTTAATCCTAAGTGGAATGGGTAATCAGTGTGTCGCAATCGGACAAAATGAATTTATGTCTGAGTAGATAAGTGCACAGTTGCCATATGTGTGATTCTTTGACGTGCCCAAGTGTACACCTGTGTAAAACCACGAGATTTTCCAGGCTCACACCGATGTCACTCGCGGTTCTGCAATGGATCGAGATTTTTCTGTGGAGAGGCGCTGATCTGGCAGACCTATGGCATGCTCGAATGCAGAGTAGCCTTCTTCCAGCTGGCCATGGATGTGGTGCACAAAACCGTCGTGGAATGTACACTGTAGCCGCAAGTTGAGATGTTGTGCGCTTTTAATGATGACAGGACTCCATCTGTGTTGACAAAGTTCGAAATCACATAACTTTTACTTTCGCTGAGATTGATATTCTTGGAGCAATGGAAAGAACGCCTCGCTCGAGAAAATGAAAACGAGCAAACCACACATGGCTCCAAGCTTTGGACCCAACTGGAACTGGAATGAATAGCACAAGTGCGCCTCCTCCTCGTTTCTGACTCCGAGGAGTAATGCAAAGTGCTTGGCGAAGTCTGGTTAGCTAGTTTATAGCTTCTCTCATTTGACTCGACCAGGGGAGGGAGCCTCGGACTATGTCGATCATCATTGATGGCTGCTTCACGGGTCATCCTCCCGGAGGTACCGTCCGAGTATTGGCCTCCTCCATATGTTGTACTTGGCAATCTTCTCCCAAACAACTCCGAGTCAAGGTCTTTCTCGTGGGAGCACCTGATGGCAAGAAGAACCTTCAGGAACCACCACACAGATCGAGAATCTATCGAGAATCCTTTCCGGGATAACTCAAACGTACAGTACTTTGCCCAAATCGAGGATCGGCATTATTTGCCCGATGCATCAACAACTCAAACCTGCTGAAATTCCTGGCTCCGGCTTCTCCCATGTCTGCTGTTCATGGTAAACGAAGACACCACTCGGTAAGTGTATTTATGTGCGTAAGACGTACATAAATACATGACTACAGTCTGTCGACAACAGTTAGTCTGGAGGACCTGCAGGTTTCCCTTGAGATCAAATGTTTCATCCAGTCAGACCTCACAAACAACCTTCACACAGCATAGATCATGTGTTGCAGAGCATTCCCACTGGATCTCCACGTCGAGTTCAAGGGCTGCTCTATCGTACTATATGATTTGACTAGTTGGTATGTGGAGATGTTTTCTCGCCGCTTCCAGACAAAATGATCCCCTCTTGTATAATACACTAAGCCATATTATTTTGTAAACAGGATTTGGTCACTTGACTTTGAACGAAAGAACATATGAAGTGAAAAGAATTGCCTTTGTGTTTCATCTTCCCGCCTTCTTCGGGTTTTACCTCGATATCTCAAGACTAGTTGAAAGCATCAACACTAATCGTAACAACGAGCTAAGTCCAACCTCTCGTAAGTGAACTTTTTGATAAGATCTTAAGCTCTCTATGTCGGACAAATTTATATTGGTAGTTCATGACGTCTGAAACTGTAGTTATAAAAATTGAAAAAGAAACAATTAGTTTTCCTTGTATAGAGTAGCTTTCGTCCATGAATGTTGAAATAAACATATGTTGGAGGATAAAAGCTTTAATCGGATATCACTTATTAATTAATAAATAAGTGATATTAATTAATCGCAAAACTATATTCATTAAATTTGGTATTAAATTTATTTAGAATAAAAAACGAAACCTAATATCAAAAAAACGTCTAAACTTGAAATATGAGAAAAATTGGACAAATTTTACCAGTATCTTTTTCCTTACATTTTTATTATCTATATTCTAAAAATAATTTCAATGGAGATTTTGATAAGAAAAATTCATATGTATTGATGTTATAATTGAAGACGTTAACAATAATGAGTTCAGATTCATGTGTTAAAAGAAATAATATCTAAAAATAAGTTAATGGTTACCATTACAATATAAAATTAAACGGCTAGGCCAGAGATTAGATTGCGAAGAAAAAGAATAATGTAGAGATTTTGCAATTTTTATATTAATTTTTATATTTTTCATCATGTACATCAATTTTTTCTAATGATCAGCATCGAAACTCATTGATTATGTGATGTAGAATTGGAACACAAATTTCTTGAATTCTGTTTTGTTCTGGCAATCTCATCTTTGTTGATTTCGCAACCTGAAATCAAGATAAACACTTTTGGTAAAGGATCCAAATATTATTGATATCATTCTAGGTGAGCTCGTTCTATCATCTCAACGACTTGCTACCTTATAATGGTATTTTTGTAAGAAGAATATGCCATATATTCTAGCGAACTTATTAATGGTTTGAATATATTTAAATACTTGCTGTGCCGAACTTGAATCTCAAAATGATTTCGGATTGATGGTGTATACCCCTTTCTTTCTATATTTCTTGAACCCCGCGATGTCTTGCGTTGTTTTCTCCCACACTCATTCTCACAAGGCATCAGTATAACTACT